TTAACCAATTGAGCCACCCAGGCGTCCTTATTCACATACTCACAAATATTCATTGAGTACCTACAGTGTGCTAGGCAAGAATGACAAAACTAAGGAAAGTAAGGTCATTGTGTGTTCAGGAGCCTGCAAATGGGATTTCATATGGCTAATGAACACAGCCAGGATTAGGCATTCGCCTTGGGCACTTAAGGGGGGTGCCAAAAACCCAATCTTCAAGATAAACAACATTTAGTATAACATCTAAAAAGTGAAAATTAATATGAAATCTATGATAAGCAAAATATTAAGATTTAAAATAAAGACTGCCTCTGACAGTGCCATGCCAAAATATAGTGGAGCCAAGGACAAAAGGAAAAATGTGAATCCCTACATATACATTTTTATGTTTTTTGTTTTTTTAAGTAGGTTCTACGCCCAGCATGGACCCCAATGCAGGGTTTGAACTCACAACCCTGAGATCAAGACCTGAGCGGAGATCAAGAGTCAACTGCTTAACTGACCAGTTGCCCCCATTTTTATGTATTTTTAATGGCTAATGTATTCCAGAACATTAAACTAGCTGAAAATACATCAAAAGTTTGAAAAGTAGGCACATTAAAGTTCACATCGTCTAAATATTTTGTACCCCTAACAAAGTTTATTATAATTTTACTTTCCTGGCTTTAAATAGAACCAAATTTGTCAATAATATCTTCAAATTCTATTTCTGGAGTGGTGAAAAAAGAAGCTGAAGTGTAAGCCAAGGCCAGATCACAAAAGCCATTTGTTGGCCTTGCTCATGAGTTTGGAGGGCATCCTGAAGGGATGCTGCCCTAAAATGAAAGGCTGGGGGTTAAACAGCTTGTCCAAATCTCTGCTCCTCCACTTACTTAGTGATCCTTAGTACCTCATCTGCATTAAATGTCTGTTTTCTCACCCATAAACTGGATATGATACCACCTACCCCAAAAGGAAATTGAGAGAATGTCAATGCTTCTAAAGCGCTTAGCACAATGCTTCCCAGTTACAGCGTGCTTGATGTAGGAGGGACATTACTATTAATATGGCTGTGGGGAGCCATTGGAGAAATCTTAGCAGCAAAGGGACAGGATCATATTTGTCCTGGAAAAGATCACTATAGCGACAGGTTATAGGAGGCACGATGGGCGGAATGACTGGGTAGGACATAACTGAAGAAGTAAAGTCATGGCAAGTGAAAGGAAGAGGGCAAGAAATGGGCTCTAGTGATAGGGAGACAGGGGGACACATCTGAGATATACTAAGGAGTATAAAGAACATGGGAGAGTAAGGAGGGCAAGTAAAGTTTGGACAGGTGGGTGAATGGTAGGGAACACAAAGGAAGAGCCAGCTTGAGAAGGCTGGTTGTAAGGTGAAGCCATTAGGATTCCATTTGACTGAATGCTACAGAAAATCCAAGGCTGCTCTGGTAGTTCCAAGAAGTCATCAAGGACCCAGGCTTCTGTCTGCTTTGCCATCTTTTAGCATTTGGCTTCCATCATCAAACTTATCTCAAGGTCCAGAAGAACTGCTGGAGCTCCACAAATCTTGACTTTATTTCAGACAGCCAGAAGATGGAACAAGAGAGGAGAGCAAAATAGCATCGCTTACAGCTGAGTCAATTCCCTTTGAGAGACTTCCAGAAGGACCTCACCCCCATACTTCATACAGATCAGAAACCAGTCATATGGACACATCCAAGCATAAGGGAATAGGGGAATAGGAGTCTTTTATCTAGGTGCATTGTCATTTGTGAAAAAATGGGAGTTCTCTTATTGAGAAAGAAGGGGAGAAAGACAACATGCACGCAACCAGCAGTGTCTGCCAGAGGGGAGACCTTCAGTTTTGATCAAGTTGAGATGAAGACATCTTGAGAACAGGCAGGAGAGAAGGGTGGTTGGAGAGGTGTGAGTTGAAGTCTCCAGAACTGGTCATCATTCAGGTAAAGGATGTAGAGTAAAAAAAGAAGAGGGCCAAGTAGAGAATTGTGGAGTCACTCCAAACTCCATGGGCTAGTGGAGGAGGAGGAACCATAAAAATCAAACCCAAACAAACAAAAACAGAAGGGAAGCACAAGGAGAATTAAGTTGAATCCTACTGAATCACTTGGGGTCCAAAATAATGCGGAGATTTTTAGAGATCAATAACACTTCTCTGCCTTACCTGAATTCTGAACCAACTAGAAATGAGCATTGTAGATGTAGCCAATACGGTGATGGAGAAAAATGCTCAGTTGCTTTGAGGGCCCAAATGAGAATGAAGATCATGAATTTATAGATGCAGAAGGGAGGAAGTAGACAGTTGAACTGGCTGAGGTTCTGCAGGTAGAGATAATGGAAAGAAAAAGGATAATGCCATGGTCTTGGCATAAAAATCTTTGGAGACTTTACAAAGACTGAAAAATGGAATCTAAACTTGCTTTGACATTCAAACCCTCCCTAATTCAGCTCAAGCCTGCTTTACCATCTCACCTCCACCACCCCACCTCCCTGCACTAGAATTGTTTACACCACCCTCCAGCCATCCTGGTCCCACTTTCTCTAAACTGCTGGACTTCCAGCTTCTGAGCTTTGGCCTCCTTCTGATTAGATGCCCTCCTAGTCATCAAAGGCCAACAAAAATTCCTCAGCCAGAATGAACTGTTCACCCCCTATTGGACTAGAATTGTCATTCTCAATCCTCTCCCCTTTCTTGGCTAAGTCGCTCGACACACCACCAACCAGAAGAGGCAAGCTCCTTGGGCATAAATGATTGGATTGGTAGAGTCCTTTCTGGGTTGCTCTCCCAGTGCTTGATATTGAAACAGTAGGACACATTAGGCACCAGGAACATAGGACCCTCTAGATTCGGGTGCAGAGCTGGTGTCTTCCTAAGCTGTCTACATGCTGAGGCTATGGGGCAGTTGGGACCAAGAGCCTTGTGGAGGAAAATGGTGCAGACTTGCAGAGAGGTGTAGCAACAAGGTACTGGGTAGGTGGGGCCAGCGAAAACGAGCTAGAGAAACAGCCCACTCTGTCCTGGATTTCTGAGAGAGTCCCGCAAGAGCTGAGCACCTTGCAGCTGAGTTCCTGGGGCTTCCCCAGTATTGTTAACATGAATCCAACTTCAGTCAAGTGAGCTTGGGGCAGTTTCTCTTCCTTGTGATTTACTCTCCCCATCCCAGGTCTGGTAAGGCTCCATTCTGACAGTGCACTGGGTACCATCTCTTCACATCAGTTATGTAGGTGTGTGTCTGCTTCCACCGGGCCCTGGCAGCCCTGAGAGCTGGGACTCTGGGACTCTGGGACTCTGTCCGACTCATTCCAGACCCCAAGCTGGGCACACACTGGATGCTGAAGCATAGTTACTGAATTCTGTGACAGTTCACAGAATGGTGTGATGTATCATTTGTTAGACAATCATTCTAAATTTCTCTCTGCTTCCCCCCCATTTTGTGATATTTGAGTAATTTTACATCATTTTTATCAAATTCATATTTTATGCTACTCACAAACTCTCCATATTCACCTGCTTTGGCTTTCTCATCCTGTTTGGTGGTCAATGTAAAGGATTCAGACTTGAACAGCAAAAGTGGTCCATATCTCTCTAGTTGGTGAGGATGCTAGTCTTAGAAGCATCCCATCTTGCAGGATTCAGCCGCCTTTACCCATGAAATGGATACTTCCCATGAAGTCTATTGGGGCAGCTTAATTTCAATGATGTCATTTAAAACTCATTAAAAGGTCAGCAGGCAGGCTAAATGCAACTTCTTCCTTCAAAAACCTACTCAGAATCATAGATTTTCAGAGCAGGGGCCAAAGGTTCTTAGACTTTTGAGTTTCTATGAACTGGGATTGATTTTTTTTAAAAGGTTGCTGAATTTATGTTCTTCCAGGGAATTCCATTACAAAAAATAAGCTTCTATTAGCACAACATCACCTCCTGCGAGGCACAGGACAGCCCCCATAGTAGAGGATCTTCTCGCTCCAAACAGCGATATTGCAGAGGTTAAGAAACCCTGGGTTGGCTAAATGACCTAGCAAAATAAAAGGCAAAAGAAACAAAGGTCCCAAGCTGGTAAACCTTTGCAGGGCGCAACATAGGGTGGGCTGGCCAAGTAGGTTGTGATGGGGTCAGCCAGTCAGGGGCAAGACTCAATACCCCAGACCTGGATAAGGCCAACACTTATGGACATTTTGATGTTGTTGTTGTTGTTAGAGAGAGAGAGAGAACACAAGAGCACATACACACAGTGGGGGAGGGGCAGAGGGAGAAGGAGAGAGAGAATCTTAAGCAGGCTCCACATCCAGCGCAGAGTCCCATGATCTCACAACGCAGAGATCATGACCTGAGCAGAAATCAAGAGCAGGGACACTTAACCAACTGAACCACCCAGGCGCCCCAAACATTTTGATTTTTAAAAGGAATGAGGCACATAAGATGTTTAACACTGCGCCTGGTACATAGACTGTTCTCTAAAAATATTTTTATTTATGATAACACCGTAATTAATAAAATCATTAGAGGTGTTTAGTAAGTGTTAGCCATTTTTAACACCAGGGAAACATTTTTTTATCTTCCCAAAAGGTATGCTGAGCTCCTTCATGGATTTGGAGTGACAAGTTTTGCTGGGGAATGGAGGGACTCTGTATAATGGATTGAGAAGATTCAGGATTTCCAGAGGCAATCTGAGGGGTGAGACGGGGAGAGGAAGATGGGAGAGGAGGGAGGAGCCTGTGAGAGTGCCACACCGTGGCACATGAGTTATGAATAAGGTTTTTGGGTCAAAACTGAGATAAAGTCTACAATTCCCATTTGGGTTGAAACCATGTAGAACTGAGACGGCAGTCCTGAAGCAGGAGCCAGGAGTCAAAGGCAACCACAAGTAAAGATATTGCCAGAGTTCCCAGAAATCCTAACAGGGCCTTGGACTTCCATAGTATGTGGAATATGCGGTTTAAGTCCAGCTCCTCAGCCAGCACCTGTCTGACATTCTCCCAGTAAAGGAGCCGTTCTGGTCTCACCTGGACAGGAGTAAGGCCTGGTTCCAAAGTTCTGTGCCTGCTCAAGCTGGGTTAAAATGGGATGCAACTCTGTCTTTGTTCTAGAATCACCCAGATTTGAGACGATCGCTAGCTTGAAGATCTTCCAGGGCCAGAGAGAGAGGCGGTGGGTGCCCTGGCCCTTAGGGCCACCGAAAGTCCTCCTGACTTTTTAAGTAGGGAACATCTGTCTGACCTCTGTAGGACTAGAGGTAGAATTGTTGTGGTGTCCAAGCGGCAAGAGCCACATAAGCATTTATGATGTAACAACCAAGTAGCCAGACGACATGAGAGTCAACACTGTTCTGGGCAAACTGGATTCATTAACTCTGTGGCTTTGGTTCAGGTGCTACCCTGTACAAAATCCCAAGTTCTTCCTGACCCTCCTCCCCAACTCACACTTTCTGTGCACCAGGGAACCAGTAAACCGCCTTCCAACTCTAGCAATTTCGTTGTCACGGTACAGATTAGCAATGAAGGGCTTGGGAGTTAGTTTTAGACCAGCCTCCACTGTGTGACCCTAGGCAACTTCTTTGCCTCTCTGTGCCAATGATTGCATCTGTAAAATGGGTGGGGGCTAAGTCTTCTAAGATGGACTTAGCACACACTGCAAGAGCTGGACGGTGAGCCACCATTCATCTTCTCATCATCTGGCAAATTCATCTCACTCATCATCCCTGCTCCTCCCAGCTCTTTTACTACCTTCTCATTTAAATCTCGAGTATCCACCTTGCTGATAAAGTTAGTTTGCATCTTCCGCCATTCTTCTCCGTCCCTCCTTCCCAGGCCCACCCTTCGCAGACGCAGAGCGTCTGCTGGCTGGACTGACGGTCGGCGACGGCGGTCTCTGAGGCAGCTCAGTCCTGTCCTCGGCTTGGGGTGTCTCCGAACGGCCGGCTCAGCTCCTCTGCGGCGCTGCCCTGCAGGGAAAGCCGCTGCCAGCCCATCTCTCAGGGGTGCGAGTGGAAGAACCACACTGCAGCAGAGGTAACAGGCAGGGACCGCGGCCAAAGGGGGGGGGGTAGGCGCGTCAGAAGGTAACGGGAGGACGGGGATCAAGAACGCGCCACACCACCTACTCCCGGCCTCCTTATCCTCCAAAAGCGGCCCCAGTTATCTCCCCGGATCCCGTCGGCGACTCCAGAAGTGACAGCCACGTGGACCGCGGGGGAATGGAATGTTGGCGTGGGGGGCGGGGCTGGAAGGGCGCCCGGGAGGTGAAGAAGGACCCGCGTACGCGCGCCCGGGCGCAGAGTGCCAGGCGACACCGCCGGGAGCGAGCACGCCCCTGACGTCACGCGCCGTTCGTCCAATGAGCACAGGCCGGAGGGAGTGCCGTTCCGCCCCCTCCGCTCCTCCGCCGCCGTCGCGGCTGCCGCCGCCACAGCAGCCGCGTCCCGGAGTGTCTGAGGAGTTGCGGGCCGCTGCGGGCTCGGGCGTCGCACCGCGCCTGCCGGAGCCGCCGAACGAGGCCCAGGGAGCCGCCTGCCCCAACCCCGCCGCCCGATGTCCTCAAGATGGAGGCAGCGGGGGCGGCGACGTGAAGAGAGCGGCGCTGTGGGCGCGGGAGCAGGGGCCCGGGCGGCCCGGGCGGAGGCGGTGCCGGGATGGGGCTGCTGCTCATGATTCTGGCGTCCGCCGTGCTGGGCTCCTTCCTCACGCTCCTCACCCAGTTCTTGCTGCTGTACCGCAAACAGCCCGAGCCGCCGCCGGACGAGGCGGCCCGCGCGGGCGACGGCTTCCGCTACATCAAGCCGGTGCCGGGCCTGGCCCTGAGGGAGTACCTTTATGGCGGCGGCGGGGCTGAGGAGCCCTCCGGCGGGCCACCCGAGGGCGGCGCGACCCCGGCCCCGGCCCTCGAGACCCCCGCCCCGCCGACGCGGGAGACCTGCTACTTCCTCAACGCCACCATCCTGTTCCTGTTCCGGGAGCTGCGGGACACCGCACTGGCTCGTCGCTGGGTCACCAAGAAGATCAAGGTGGAGTTCGAGGAGCTGCTGCAGACCAAGACGGCCGGGCGCCTGCTGGAGGGGCTGAGCCTGCGGGACGTGTTCCTGGGCGAGACCGTGCCCTTCATCAAGACCATCCGCCTCCTGCGGCCGGTGGTGCCCTCGGCCAGCGGGGAGTCGGACGGCCCCGAGGGGGAGACCCTGCCCGCCACCTCCCCCGAGGAGCTGGCCTTCGAGGCGGAGGTGGAGTACAACGGGGGCTTCCACCTGGCCATCGACGTGGACCTGGTCTTCGGCAAGTCCGCCTACCTGTTCGTCAAGCTGTCCCGAGTCGTGGGGAGGCTGCGCTTCGTCCTCACGCGCGTGCCCTTCACCCACTGGTTCTTCTCCTTCGTGGAGGACCCGCTGATCGACTTTGAGGTGCGCTCCCAGTTTGAAGGGCGGCCTATGCCCCAGCTCACCTCCATCATCGTCAACCAGCTCAAGAAGATCATCAAGCGCAAGCACACTCTCCCGAGTTACAAGATCAGGTGAGAGGGAGGGAGGTGAGGGAATGACACCCCGCAGGCGCGGGGACCTAGCCGCCGGGGATCCGGGCCTGGGCGGGGTGCTGCCGCCTGCGTGGAATGGGAAGGGCAGAGGCTCCTCCCCAGCCTTTGCTTTTCCAGGGATCTCCCCGACCCTGGCGGGACAGTACCCGGGGAGGGAGGCGAGTAGCGCCCACAGTCTTCGCTGCCAGAGGGCATCAGGATGAGCCAGAAGCCTCCTCGCGTGTTCGTGGGCACTCAGGGTGCTGTCCGCGTGGGTAGGAGCAGCATGTTGAAAATGGCAGGGCGGCCGGTCCCCCTCGTCGGCTTTGGGACTGGTGAGAAACGGGTCCTGTGTGTGGTGGCGGCATTGAGGGCGGTTTTGCAGCATCACCTTGACCACGTTGAGAAATTGTTGCTGGACCCAAAGTACAGGCATGAGAAAGAAGTGTGGGTAGCCCGAGGATGTTGTATTTTGCAACGGCAGGCCGCTCTTGCAGTTGGCGCTTTGGCAACTTTCAGGGCAGAGATGCAGTTTGCGTTGTAAAGGAATACTTCGCACAGCGAATTGAGAGCCAGCTGGGAGCCTGTACATGTGGTAGTTCTCTGTGGGTTTTGTGTTAATGTCATCTTCCCCCTCGGGGTAGGTTCTGTAGCACAGACCTAGATGCTGCCCTTCGTGTGTCAGCTCTGGCTGCGAATTTCTCACGCAGTACCTGAGATCAGCCTGCAGATGGAATGTTAATGATCCGTAGTGATTTCAACTTGCTAAAGCTCTCCGGTATGTGGTGGCGTTAGTTTCACTTAGTATACTGTTTTGATTAATGGTCCAGGGATTTTTGTTTTGGGGTGGCTTGTTTGTTTGTTTGTTTGTTTTTAATATCATAGAAGAAATGAAGGGGAAAGGAAGTTTTGTAGGGATGGGGCTTCATCTACTTTAGTCTGAATTGTTGGAGTGGAAAGGGTCGTACATGGCTGTCTCTTCAAAATCAGCTGAATTTCTTATGTCAGTTTCTGTCCTCTAATTTTCTGTTCATTAAAATGCTTGACTCTTGGATTTGTCCTTCCTTATAAAAGTGTGTCAGTCTGGTGTTTGCCTTACTTAGTGTCCTCTAGTTGCATATTTCTGGATCACTAATTTTCTACCAAAGTGTCAAACAACAGTGACCCAGGTAATCCAGAGATATTTTATGTTTGGGGTTGTGATGGGTAATTGACTTGTGTATGTGGCAGATAGGCCTTCCTAATTATGTTTAGGCTGATAGCATAGAGTGAAAGCTTAAAACTGTTGAGTGGCAGGAGAAATTTACTTTATAATGGATATAGTTCCATAGATTTGCAGAGGGTGGTGAACTGGTTGTTCACTGTGTTTGATTTCCCATTCTGTGAAGAACAACATACTTTGGGAAACCTACGCTTCAAGCTTTGGAATGTAAGTGACTAAATTATAAATGAGTTCTGGTATCTAACCAGTAAGATGTTTATTTATAGTAATGTGTTGCTAAGAAAGTAATGAGAAAAAATTACAGATTTTGGTATTCTGTTTTCTGGGTAACTTTCAGGTAATAAAATTTGAGTATGCTCTTATTTGGGGGATTATTTGCAGAATTGATTATTCTGCAAAGAACAATTAGGTGGCAATTAGGTTGGGTATCATTTTGAGGGTTCTTGGGTTTTTTTTTAAATGTAGATTTGGAATTCAGTTAAATCTGAAGGAAATGAATGAATAGCAGGTGTGGAGATATTAGTGGGTTTTATTGCTTTCATTTACTATGTCCGAAGAGATTTTTTAAAAACATAGCATTGTGTCTGGTTATGTATGGTAGTTCAAATTTTAAACCTTACACATTAAGCAGTCACCTCCAGAAATGTGCACGTTTGTGCTCTTTATATTAGAAGGCATTTCGGTAGTAAATCAGTAAATACTAACAGAACTTACCACTTAATCTGCAGATGTTTGTTGTACACCTGCTATGTGCTTATCATTGTTTAGGTGTTGGGGCTTCAGTACTGAACAGCCTCAACCATTTTGGAGCCTAAAGTTTAATGAGAACTGAATTAGCAGTACTTAATATGATTTAACTAGAATGTGATTGATTAATGGAAGGTTGAAGTAACTAGGACGCTGATTTTCGGTAAGTAAAGGAAAATAATAGGAGTGTGAAGATGAAATGGGCTGCTCCAGGAAGTGTTGAGTTCTCTTGTCTATGAAGCTCTTTGCCAGAAGTATTTTAAGCTACTGATGTTGTGGAGCGGATTCAGATTTCAGTTAAGAGAATGAATTAAAATACATTTAAGATGTATCACAATTCTCATAATGAGAATTAAAGTAGCTGTTGTTTACCCTTTTATATAGACGAGGGAGTAGTGCTCAGAGTAGTTAAATAACTTGCTTAAAGTCACACAGCTGTTATGTAGTGAATTCCAGCCCTGATAAAGCCAGAGCTACCTTTTTCCATTCAACTCTGTCACCTTGTTCTTAATGTTTTGTTTTTTGTTTTTTAAAAGTACACTATCAATATAACATGTATATATATATATATATATATGGAGGTAACTTTACAAATCAACTGAGAACTCTGAGAAGAGTGTAACTAAAGATTTTTTTTCTTACATTGGAAATTTTGAGAGCGGATCCTTTAAAGGTTAAATCTTTGGGTGCTGCCCCACATAGTATTTCTTTTTTAATCCAGCAGATTTTGTTTCCAAATAGAAGGTCTGCTAGTTTATCCTTTTTAGCCATCTAATCTACTTAGAGCTAAAGCAGTAAAGAAAATTCTATTGAGTCTTAGGATCCTTTGGCACTTTAATTATTATATAACAGAAATACCTTGCCAGTTAACGTTGTTACTTCTCCCCACCCTTTATTTATTTTTCCATTTCATATTGCTAAAGTGAAGGTGGCCTTGAGGAATGCCAGTTCCTGATGTCTCAATCTAGAGATTCAAGGAGTTCAAGTGGTTGCTTTCTAAGGATTGTGATGATTAACTCTTCATTTTATCCAACTAACATAGTTTGTAAAACATTATAATATTTTTAAAAGAATTATACTATTACACATTTCCCATATATTATAATTTAGTTTTACTAATATAATTCTAAGTTCATCTCCCTCAAATGTTGTTTTGAATTTTTTCCCTAAAATGTATACTTTAAAATAGTAAATTAAAGTACTAGTATTTGGGGGGGGTTACCAAGTTTTTTTTTTTTAATTAACCCAAAAATTAGTCTTAGGAAAGAAACATTACCACTAATATTTATGATTACATGAAATCTGAGTAATAGTCTGGGGAAGTTTAGAATTTGGGAGTCACCTACTTGAGATTCTTACTGATGCTTCTCTTCCTAGACTGTTATTGCTATTTTTTACCCCTGGTTGCATACTGAAAGGCCAAATTCTGTTTGCAGGTACTTTTTATTCGGCCTCATGGTATTTTTGTTTGTTTCGTAATTGCCAATACTTTACAAGGGAATATTTTGCATGATTTTGGATTTCTGGCTTCTCTTAGAAGACATTGGATGATCTCGTTGCACCAGGCCTGCATTCCTTATAGCAATAACCGGTTGGAGAAATAGGTCTGGTAGCAGCTGCAGGAAGTTCTTATGCCTGGTTTATAGTCCCCACCTACTTGCTAATGGTAGTTGTCTGGCCTGGCATCATATGAATTTGAGATCCTTCCTAAATAGGGAGTAATACTGTTGCTAATCAGTGAAAATGGAAAGTACTGGATAGTAAAGGGCGATAATTATTACCCTTCTTTAAACATTATTATCTTTCAAGGGACTTTCTTTGAGCAATTTTATTTTATAAAAGACTTTGATATAATGTTGAATTTTTTTTTTAAGATTTTATTTATTTATTAGAGAGAGAGAGAGAGCAAGCACAGGCAGACAGAGTGGCAGACAGAGGCCGAGGGCGAAGCAGGCTCCCCGCCGAGCAAGGAGCGCGATGTGGGACTCGATCCCAGGTTGCCGGGATCATGACCCGAGCCAAAGGCAGCTGTTCAACCAACTGAGCCACCCAGGCGTCCCAATGTAGAATTTTTTTAAAAAATCATTCTACCAGAAGTTTTTAAAGAATCCTTCGAAACATTTTCCATTCTCTGCAGTATATTGGTAGTAAGTGCATAGTAGCTGTTTCTCAGTTGAGTGCGCTGGATTTTTGCTTTGATGTCAAGTGGGTCATTAACTATATACAGATACTTCTCTGATCTACAAATAAGGAGACATCTACTTGTTGATTTTTGAATTTGATGATTGCGTGTGGAACATATTTGGGGGAAAATTTCACTCTTCAGGTTCATGGAATATCTTCTGAATATGGCTACTTTTGTCATAACTGTTCTTTTACTTATGGAAATTTTTTGAATATTCCTGCTGACTGGAGATCAAGGAGGACCACTGTCCCACCAAAGGCAAGGACTGGACTGTATTTAGTTAGGTAGAGCTTCTTAACATGTTTTTATTTACCTATGTCTTCTCTAAGTATACCATTAATTTCAGAGAACTAAATTAGGCTTGGTCTGGAAAGCCTCATACTGTATAATGTGGTTTGTAATTGAATTATTTTTTCTTTGTCTTCTGAGATGAGGAAGAAAAACATTTACTCATACCATTAATTATAGCTTTCTCATTTTACTGATTATTTGAAGTAAAGTTTTGTTTTGTCGTTGTTGTTTTTTTAAGATTTATTTGTTTTAGAGAGAGAGAGAGTGCAAGCACATATGTGGGAGGGGCAGAGGGAGAGGGAGAGAGAATCTCAACCAGACTCAGCTCTGAGTGTGAGCCCGACACAGGGCTTGATCGCAGGACCCTGAGATCATCATCTGAGCTGAAACCAAGAGTCAGATGCTTAACCGACTGCGCCACCCAGCCATCCTGTATAGATGGTTTGAGTAATCATGTCTCAAAAACTTTCAAAGTGAATCTACTGAAAGCTGACAAAATCATTTGTAAGCGTCCTGTAGTATATTTATTCACTTAACTCTTCCATACACTTTATG